GGGGGCTATGTAGAGAAAGCCAGGTGAGGCTCCTTTGTCCAAAAAACATGCCAAAAGCTCTGGGAGGAGGGGACCAAGCAGCCAATCTGGTATCAAAGTCAAAGAGCAATCACTCCAGAGGAAGTTTGAGAGAACTCCTCTCATTGGACAAGAACATGAACGGGGAGGGAATAACTCAAGGGTTAAAACTCCAGGTGTTCCTACCTATCCTGATTCTTTCTCTGGGTCCCCTCCCACGACAACATGGGACCTGTCTTTGCTTCTCTCTCTCTCACTAATAAATCGCTTTTCTGCAAAACTCTTTGGGTCCACGATATTTATTCAAACGGTATGCTCACTGCACCTCAGGGGCCACTTTCCCTGTTCTACGAAGTTAATGAGGCCGAGAATCTCTGACCTCTGGGAGTTGGATATGCTCCCCTGGTCACATCTTTTGGCAAGCCAGTCAGGAGAAAGTTGGACTTCAGAGCAGTGAGTGATATTGGACCCCTTTCATTTACTAATCTGTCCTTTCCCTTCTTTTAAATTTGTTAAGGAGGTAAAAACTGGGTGCCCGTCAGCCATCTAAGTGCATATAGTGTGGCCACCAGTCTCAAGACACAGGTGTCAGACTTCCTGGGAACGGACTCTCTAACAACCCCCGGGTCTTCAGAACTGGGAGCGTTGGTCAGCCTCGAACCGACTTCCCTCTCTTCCTGATCTTTCTTTCTCTGGGCCAAGCTGAGGGCCAGCCAGACAAAAGGTGGCCATCCCCAACTCCCAGTTCAGTCCAGTTAAGGTGTGGCCCCACTTAGACCTCTTAAGAAAAAGCCCCCCATGCGAGCCATGCCCAGCCTTTCAGACTCCAACCTCCTGGGTCCAGATTCCCATAAAGCAAACTTCTTCCCAGCTCTTTCCTCTAAGATATTTCCTACACAGTAGGCTATTATCCTACTTGCTAGACTTTGAGGCTTTGGCACATTGCAAAGTTCCTCCTGGTAAATAGTGAACTGGTCATTACCCAGGTGAGGACTGGTAAAGTGACTTCACCCATATGGCTAAGTCTCAGGGATATCAATATCTGCTGGTATGTGTAGATACCTACACAAACCGGGTTGAGGCTTTCCCCTGTAGAACAGAAAAAGCCCAAGAGGTAATAAGAGTCCTGATTAATGAAAGAATCCCTCGATTCGGACTCCCTCACTGTCTTCAAAGCAAAAACGGCCCTGCCTTCAACGCTGCGGTGACCCAAGGAATTGGCAAGGCGTTAGGAATACAGTATCATCTCCACCGTGCTTGGAGGCCTCAGTCCTCAGGGAAAGTGGAGAGGATGAAATTCTTAAAAGACACCTAACAAAACTGGCACAGGATACCTACCTCCTGTGGCCTTCTCTGTTACCAATGGCACTCTTAAGGGCTCGAAACTTTCCTCAAGAATAGGACTCAGCACCTATGAGATGCTTTATGGATGGCCCTTTCTTACTAATCTAGTATTAGATAAGGAAACAGCAGATCTAATAAAAGACATAACCTCCTTGGCTAAGTACCAACAGGCTCTTAGGACCTTACCTGAAGGGCACCCTAGGGAAAAGGGGAAAGAGTTGTTCTGCTCTGGGGACTTAGTGCTTGTTATGTCTCTCCCCACAGACTCTCATTCTCTAGGCCCATCTTGGGAAGGACCATTTTCAGTTATTCTGTCTACCCCAACAGCAGTAAAGGTGGTGGGAACTGACTAATGGATTCATCACACTCGGCTGAAGCCTTGGACCCTCCTGAAGAAAATCACGGACCCTCCACTCTACAGCCTGAAGTTCCAGGAGAAGGCTCTTCCTACACCTGCGAGCCTTTAGAGGACCTACATTTGCTCTTCTGACAAGATCCCCAGGAAAGTAACTACGCATGAGTCTAACTTACATCCTGGCATTAATAGGACTATCACTCTTGACTTTACTATTTGCGACCAGACTCTATGCGATTGCTCCTACAGATTTGCCTACATCTTATAAACTCTTCCTCAAATCATACGGGGCTTATAGGTCCCTTGGTCACCAATCTAAGAATTCCATCTACCTCAACTTCACTGTGTGAACTCTACTAGCAACTCCAATGCTTTCCTATGCCAAAACTGGGTTGCCTTATCCCCAGGCCTCAACTGCCTAGCACCAGGTCTATTCTTTGTTTGTGGCACCTCAGCTTACTGCTTCTTGAACAATACCCTTGGGGAAATATGTCTCCTCTTCTTCCTAGTGCCCCTCCCCATGACTATTTACACCAACTCTCAGGTGCAGTCTTCTCTTGCCAAGGCCACACCATACTTGAACCCCAATTCTTCCCTTCATAGTTGGGGGGGGCGAAATTATAGGAGGACTTGGTACTGGCATTGGAGAAATTACTTCCTCCACTCGGTTTTACTATAAGCTATCTCAGGAGTTAAATGATGACATGGAAAAGGTTGCTGAGTCTCTTGTAACTCTGCAGAAGCAGCTTATCTCTTTAGCTGCAGTAGCTCTTCAAAATAGAAGGGCCCTGGATCTGCCAACTGCTGAGAGAGGAGGAACCTGTCTCTTTTAGGAGAAGAACGCTGCTATTTTGTAAACCAATTGGGTATTATCTTCAACAAAGTTAAAGAACTCAGGGGCCAATAGAACTCAGGGCTTAAGACCTTCAAGAAACAGGATTATGGAGATTGTTTAACAACTGGCTGTCCTGGCTCTACCCTCCTCTAGGCCCATTTATAACCATTCTACTATTGCTGGCCTTCAGACCGCTCATCTTTAACCTTCTTGTCAATTTTGTTTCTTCTAGAGTTAAGGCCATGAGTCTACAAATGGTCCTGCAAATGGAACCCTGGATGTCCTTGGCTCATGAGTTCTATCGTGGCCCTGTGGATCAACCTGCACCCCTGGAAGACTCCCCTCTGGAGGAAACCTCAACTGCAGGGCCCTTTCTAGGCCCCAATTCAGCAGGAAGTAGTTAAAGAGCAATCGACCTCCATGTCCCAACAGCAGTTGGACTTTCCTGTTCAGAAGGGGGACTGAGGGACTGTGTTATAGAAGCTTCTCTTCCTGGGTCCACAAGGGGTGTGGTTTCAAAGCCAAGAGTTTCCTGGGTCCACAAGGGGTGTGGTTTCAAAGCCAAGAGTTTCCCGGCTCCACACCTCCATCTGGGAACCAGAGGGGTTTCAAATGTAAAATTCTTTGGCTGGGGTTCCCATGTGCGGGCTAGGTAGAGAAAGCCAGGTGAGCCTCCTTTGTCCAAAAAACCTGCTGAAAGCTCTGGGAGGAGGAGGCTCCTCTCCCAGAGGTATCAATCTGATATCAGAGTCAAAGATCAATCACTCCAGAGGAAGTTTGAAAGAATTCCTCTCATTGGACGAGAACATAATGGGGAGGGAATAACTCAAGGGTTAAAACTCCAGCTGTTCCTACCTATATGATTCCTTCTCTGGGTCCCCTCCCACAGCAGAGTGGGAGCTCTCTTTCTTTCTTTCTTGTCTAATAAATCACACTTCCACAAAACTCTTTGGGGCCACAATATTCATTCGAACAGCAAACTCACCATGCCTCCAGGGCCCCATTCCCCATTCTTTGGGGTTAGTGAGGCCAAGAACCTCCAATCTCTGGGAGGTGGATACACTCCCCAAGTTAGTTTCATCCTTTACCTTGAAAGGAATCCTTTTACTTTCTTTTAGTTCCACTGGAGCCAAAAAAACCAACCATGGCCATCACTCTGGGCCTGTGGCTCAGCTTGACTCTTGCTCTGCATTTCTGTTCTACATCCAGCCCATGAGTTTATTTGGCCTGTTTTTGTTTTGCTTCATTGCATTTAGATGTTTTCTACTTTATTGTTTAAATTTATTTTTAAAATTTTTTAATTTTCTAGTTTTTTTTAATACTTTATTTGACATTGTTATATGCCAGGAGCAGACAAGACACACTGGAGATAAACTGTGTCATCTTGACCAGAAGTCATCTCTTTTAAAATTTTTTCCATCTATTTTATTTTTCAATAGGTAATACATGTACATAGTAAATGTCATTAACATTTTATAGTAAATGTGATAACACATTATAGGGTATCTGTTCGTTTTTTCTATGAAATCTTTCCATTAAAATAACCCTTGGATCTAGCCCCTCTCTACCGGCCTCTGCTTCAACAGCCTTTCTACTTTCTTACATGCCTAAATAGCACATCCTTTCTATCCTGTTGTTTCTCTTCCCCTCACCTACCAATGCTCTTTATCACCCCTCACGCACAATACATATCTCTAAAATAACCTCATTATCCCAAATCTCTGCTGTCCAGTGACTCTTCTAAGAAGTCTTCCCTGATTAAACCAAAATTCACCTTCCACGCTAGATTTTGTTTACAGATATGTATGCATGTTAGATTATGATTCGTCAGTCTCTTTAAATGTATGTTCACTGATTGCAATTCATGCTTTCAACAGCACATCAAGGTTAGGGAGTTAACAGCTTAAAGTGGAAAAAGCCTGGGGCCTCAGGTCACACAAATCCGGATTTAGATCCTAGCTCCATTACATGAGCCTTGGCCTCTCTGGGTCTTCCTAACTGTAAATTGGTGATGATAATGCCTAAATTCCAGGCTGTTGCAAGGAAAAAATAAAACAAAGTGTATGTGAAAGTTCGGTACGGTAGCCAACATACAGCTATTTCTCAAATAAATGATAGCATTCTCGCTTTTCTGCCTTCTATATATTTCTTAAGCTTATTACCCATTAGGCTATAAGCTGCTTTAGTGTCAAGAACTGCTTCTAACTAAGAGCATCAGCTCAGAGTTCCTACATAATGGATGTCCAGGTGTATGATGACCCAGCTTCCCTGACAATTCTCCCATCAGGGCTACTGGGACACTGAAAAAAACATCACTTCTCAGAGGCCCATGATCTTACTACAGAACGTTGGAGGGAAGTCTCTGGGGTCTAGAGCAAACTGCCCCATCAAATGCAGAGAGAAGTTACAGGCAGAGTCCAGGTACATTAACTAGAGGCCCCAACTCACCTGAAAGAACCAGCTCCCTTGAAGCAGGGTGAGGCTTGACCGCAGTAGCTCCAGAAGTACATTGTTCCTGACAAGGAACTCTAGGAAGGCAATGAGGCCTGTCAGAAGGATGACCAAAACCAGCAGCTGGTGCACAAAGATGTCCAGCATTTCCCGGCCATGAGTGTGGTTGTAGAAGACAAAAGCTGATGGGGAAGAAAACAGATTGTCTTTTTCAGTGGCACCAAGGACCACCGCCGTTTCTCTCTGTACACAGAAATTTACGCATACACACATTTGTCCAAAAGAGCAGGTACCCACTGATTCCCACAGTACCATATTTGGAAGACATCACCACCTCATTAGAATGGAATCTTTGAAATCTAACCCTCTTTTTGCTTTCACTGACCTTTATTCTCTCTCTAACATATTGCGACATTTTCAACTAATGGATTCTCATTATCTCACTATATTTTTGAATGAATATCTTTTCCTCTTTATCTAAATGAAAATGATTGAGATGAAGTTGGAATCTCCATGGATTGAAAAATTTTAAAGCATCTTCTAAGCAGGACAAAGAACAGTAAGCATGACAAGTGCGATCATTCAGATGAACACAGATGATTAAGTCAAAGTGTCACCTTAAGGAATTCACTCCATTGGAGGAGGCAAACACATACATATATAAATCACAAGAGTGGATTTTGATATGCTCTGGACGCTCTCAAGAAGTAGTAAATAACTGCATTTCTTCATCCCATGGACAGATTCCAACTTCATCTTTTAAAATACAGTAACAACCTAAGATAGTGAGAATCGAGCTATTAGTTGTTGACATCCATCTTTTATCCAGCTCTTGTTCCCAAGAGGTACAGGAAAAAGTTCTTATCTTCAGATGCCAAAGGTGAGTAGGAAGTGACTGCCTCCTGATCAATGTGTGGTTATCTATTTCTATAATCAATCTATTTCTTACATGTGTAATAAATGAAAACAAATCATTAAATGCTTGTTTTCTTTTTTTCTCCCTACAGTAACTGGGAGACCAGCTGAATGAAAAATATTGTTTTTAATTAACTTTCCAAAGTTAGGACCCCATATTTTTTATGTGACTGCATTTTTTGGACCCTACTCATCACGAAATGGCAGTCTTACTGTATCAGTGTGAAAAGCCTAGTTAGTAGATCATGGAAGTTGTTCTGCTGTGAGTGGCTGCCTCATTTCAGTGTATTCAATGCTTTATTACTCCGGGATCAGTTCTCACCTGTCAAAAGTGAAAATAATGATAATCTTCCAAACAACTCAGAGATGAGTAACCTTCACAAGTGATCTTTTAAGACAGATGTGAAATGTAAACATAGCAATTGAATGACAGTGCTTGCCCAGTTCTACTAAATGAGTCAGTATAGCACATAGATCTTTGGCACCCTGCCTAGGACGCCCAGATATTTCATTATGGCCCAGATATATGGTCTTGTCAATCAAGGCTGCAACAAGATGCCAGAGGTATATTAATATGAAGGGCTACACAAATGCCCACTAATAGAGAAAGGTATGTGAAAAACTTAGTAATACTTACCCTCCACAAATAAGGCATTTGACAACATTAACTTGATTAAGCAGAAAGGAAGTGAACTGAAGATGAAACATAAGATGTGTGCCACACCGATCAGCCCAAAGAAGAAATACATGGTGAAATGATGCCAGCCCAGGAGTTGGTTCCACTGGCCCTGTTTATAGTCATATAACTTCAGATAGGGCCCTCCAGGAATAAACTGCTCCCCAGCCATGCCTGCAGAGAAACATATCACAGTTTTAGCAACTCTGCTTTACCTAGAATTCAATAAGATGCAGGAGGACTAGCCATTGCTTATTCCAATCTAGTTTCCTCTTTTGACATTGATTCTTCTCTCTGAGCTGTCTGCTAACAGCTGAACACTGGCACTTTAGGCTTGTTCTGGAGGTTCAGGTGCTTGTTCCAATATATAGTTTTAGTCAAAGATAGCCAGTTGAATCAAATAGCTATTTCAGATCTTCAGTGCCAGTGATCTTAGTTCCCACTGCCTACTCCAATTTAATGACTAAGGTACATCGTGAATTATTTGGGGATTTGAATTTGGGAGACAACTCCTATGAAGATTGATTGCTTGCTTCTTAAATAGTACATCTTTGAGTAGCTGCCATAAAGTACAGGGTTGTGCTTGGTACCAGACACAAATGCTAAAGAGTTCAGCTTTTCTCCGATTATGATAACTGAGAAAGCTCAGACAGGACCGGGCACACTGGCTCACGCCTGTAATCCCAACACTTTGGGAGGCTGAGGCAGGCTGATCACTTGAGGTCAAGAGTTCGTGACCAGCCTTGCCAACATGGTGAAACCCATCTCTACTAAAAATACAAAAATTAGCCAGGTGTGTTGGCAGGCACTTGTAATCCAAGCTACTCGGGAGCTAAGGCACAAGAACAGCTTGAACCCAGGAGACAGAGGTTACAGTGAGCCAAGATAACGCCACTGCATTCCAGCCTGGCCGATAGACTGAGACTCCATCTCAAAAAAATACATAGAAAAAAAGAAAAAAGAAAGCCCAGATAGATATAGCATACTATCTAGTCTGCTATGCAAACAGTTAAACATTCTTACAGATACTGCCTTATTTGTTAATCTATAGAATTTGGCAAGGAAATTTCCCTCTTTGGAATTGTTACTGTGTAATTTGATGCCATAGCAAAGACCTGTTGCCATGAATAAAGCACGAGGGAATCTAATGGGAAAATTGGAAATTTTATCTTTTATAATGGAGAGGCTAGAGTAGAATTCTTAAGAACACAGAACATTTTCATAGAATCTTCCTATGGAAGATTCAGTGGAAAGGCCTTGGAAGTCATCTGGCCTAATCTCTTTCTCCAATTTAGGAACCAAGAAAAAAAGATGAGTGCAGAAGGCTAAGGTTTTCTACAGCCTATCAGCAATGATTTCTTATTGAGGCTTTTCCATAATAACTTGATTAATTTCATGTCATTTTACAGCCTATCAGCAATGATTTCTTATTGAGGCTTTTCCATAATATCTTGATTAATTTCATGTCATTTGCAAAATGGTTTTCAATAGGGTTTATTCTTTCGGAGATCAGAACAATTTATATAAAATGATTTCAGAAGGCTCCAACCAGTTCTTTAAAAGCAATTCACTTTGCCTAGGCAACTACTATGACTAATTTATCAAGAAATAGGTCTTTGTATAAGTGTAAATTATTACCTTCCTAGCAAATTATATTAGATAGAAATTACAATTAGAATATGTGTTGAGATATTTTTGAATAAAAATTCATTTTAGCAATTTCATGATTTTATATTGTTTCATATTTTACATATGAAAACACCTGAAAGGTAAAAACAGAACACAGAATGGTCCACTCACCAGTTAAAGCCATGCCGACCAGTGTAATTCCTTCCAAAATTTCCAATCGATGGAATAATGCTTTGGAACCAAGGTAGCAGGTTCGCTTTTGCTTTTTGCAGACATACTTCAGAATACTCTTTGTACACCACCAAAGACCAATAATAAGAAAGAAGCTTCCAGGGAGAGCATGACCTATGAAACTCCCCATGACCTACAATATAAGAACACAGAGAAAATAAAAGACATTTCATTGCCATAATCTGGACAAAATATCACTTGTTTCCATAAAGTACACTATCTTCTGACTATTATGGATCCATCACTGAAGATGACTCTGAGGATTCTACATTACCGTGCATAGCAGTAATATCACTACAATATCAGTAATACCAATAAAAATGAAATAAAAACTCACGTTTGTGAAATACTTACCATATAGTCTGCTCTGTGTCATGTGTTTTATCTTCAGTCTTCAATCTAATTTATGCAACATACCCATAAATTAAGGATTGTTATCCCTTTTTCTTTAGGGATACTCATTTAGAGAAGTTAGACTATTTGCCCATATCTCACAAATATTAAGCAAACGTTCCAGTATTTTTAACACAGAAATCAAAAGGATTTCTTTACATCAACAGTGTATACTTCACCACACAGTGGCCCTTCAAGTCTATCTGAAGGAAAGTAATATGAAAGTTTTATCTTTATGTTTAAAACTTGAAATGATGTGAAATTGCCGACAAAATTTTTTAGGTTGATGATTTCAAAATATCAAGCATCAAGTATATGGAAGAAACAATTTGTGTTCATCAAATATCTGTGTGCTGCTCCCCACTGTTTCTCAGTCTTTCCCTCCAGTTAGATTAGACCCAGGATTTTAGTTCTGGCTGATACACTGTACGGTGATCCAGCATATGTCACTTTCCAAGCCAGGTCATTTAGCAGTCTGCATGATTCCTTTATGTCTCTATTCTCCTGCCTTGGTGTGGTATATCTGCAACCCGGAAGGTATCAACCAGCCACTTTCAGATTTCATGAGAAACAATCCTTTGTTGTGCTAAGGCAATGGAAATTTCAGATTTACTGTTAAAACACCTTAGGCCCACCTAGCCAGATACCAAGCCAAATCAAATTGCAAATCTTGTTTACATTATTGCCACATGGTGGAGTCACCTCTGGTTAATAAACAGAAATATTCTCCATGATTGGTCACTGCTACCAAAAAAAAAAAAAAAACAGTCTTGAATTATGTGAGTTCTTATTCATATGAGTAGCCCTTTGTTAAAATATATTATACCATCAACAGAATAATGAAAAGAGAGTCCAGAATCACCCTTGTGTATCTGATACTAGGCCAGGTCCAAGAGAACTCATGAAAAGCGATTTCAGGATTTCCCCTGGCCCGGCAGACTTCTTTATCTCCGTGGGTGATAACGGGCCTCTCGGTTCAGGACAGACCCCTTTGGGTTACTTTCATCCCTCTGATACAGCTGTGAAACTCAGGGGGAAATTTGGAAGCTGATTCAAACAATAAAAGTCTCTTGTATCTCCAGTGGAGACCCCAGACAGTCATTTCAAGATACCCTTGAATCGTCCAAATGATCCAAGAGTCTCAGGCTCAGTATATCACATAGTGCTAAAGGCAGGTCCTTGTCCTAACTCTGCCTGTCATGGCATGGATGGGTCATGTTTCTTAACCTTTCTAAGCCTTAGTTCTTACTTAATGAAAGAAGGAGGCAGGCCTAGATGAAACCTAGAGTTCTTTCCTGCTCTAACATTCTTGGATTTATCATCCTAAGCATCACCTTTATCACAGTTTGCTGACTTCTGTTTTGGTTTAGGCAATCACATAGGATTCAGAAAACTTCTACATGGATTGAAAAGCATACACAGACTGTAAATTTTTTGAACTTTTCTGAAAATGAGTTGTATTGGGTTTTAAAAGTCAAACATTTTATATTTCATAGTACAGGAAGCCCACTTTCAGGGACTTATCTTGAAAATATAAATGGAATTACAGGCACCAGAGGAATGTTAAATTATATAGCCACTGAAAATAAGGTTTTCAAATAAATGATAGGGGTATATGTAGATAAAAATTGGATTAAAAAATTAGGGGAAGGGCCTTTGAATATGGATTATCTAAGTCTGGATACCGACTTTCTAATTTGCTGGTTACCTAACTTTGGGCGAGTTACTTAACCCCTCTTCTCTTCTGTAAAATGGGACACAGTGCCACACTCTTCTGTTCTGTAAAATGGGACAAACAACATCATAAAATTAAAATGAATTACTTTAAAGCAAATAACTCACAGTACCGTTAAATAAGTTCATGCTATCCTCAACGCACCTCTAACGACCAGAGTAAAGCAAAAGTAAAACCCAGTGAACAATTTTACTTAGATTAATTAGATTACTTAGATAATTAATTACTTAGGTAAGCTGGATATAGAAAAACAAGAAACATTGATACAATTCATTTGGCAATCATTGGTGTACTGCCCATGACATTTCTCTTGCTATTGTCTTAGAGGGTTACTGGGATAATCTGTGGTTATTGAACTCCTTGACTGCAATTAGAGAATAAACTCCTTGAAAGCAGAGGTCATATATCCATTCTCCTTTCTATTCCCCACTGGACCTGGATAGTGCCTTACATACTATGAGGTCTAAATTTACAAGGACTCACTAAGCTCTTCTTATAACACAGGATCACATTTGCGAAACATCTCAACTCTGCTGTCTCAAAGGCCACTCACATTCAACACACCCCAAAACTGAACTAATTATCTTATCGACCCACCCACTGCCAGAAAATAATTTTAGTTACCCTAAAATAATCCCTGGTCACCTAGTTTGGTTGACAACACTGCCATTCTCCCCTTTGCCCAAGTCCAAAATATGAACATTACCCTAGAGTTGGCCCTTTCCATAAAAACCAGTTGGTTATTGAGATTATTGACTCTGCTTCCTAACATCAATCCTCTGCTATGGGAAAGGGAAGGGGCCACTTCCATTTCAGCTGCTTGGAGAAATCCTTCCTCATGGCCCAAATAGGGGAGGGTCCCTATTATACCCTTTCAAGCACCCAGTTTTCACATTAGTGACTTGTTTGCATGATTAATTACTGAAGGTCTCTCCTCCTCAATGGCCTCTATGACTATTACCATATTACGAAAACTTGCACAGCTGACTATGGGGGCCCTTCAAAGGTTAGGTGCCTGGGTCTCCTCCATTTTTTTATATGTTAGACTTAGGAGTCTAAAAAAAATGGAGAAGACTTAGGAGTCTAAAAAAAAATGGAGAAGACCCAGGTATATTAAAAAAGAAAGAAAATGCCAAAACAGAGTCCTAAAAATTTGTATTGCTTTTAAGTATTTAGAATTACCTAATAAATACTTTTAACATACAAGCAATAGATAAGATGAAATTTTTAAATCCAGGCCTTCCCTGAATGTACAGCTCTAGGTCAAATAGCCCTTGTGACACGCCCTATGACCAGCTAAGACGCTCCTGCTGCCCCCAAAGCGGAGAGGAACTATATATCTGAGCACACCCATCAGGAGGCAATGGGGAATACTGGAAGGTTTGTGAAGAAGAATATGAGCTGATCAGAGTAGAGAAAGAAAGGAGTGCTCCTTCCTACCTCGGCTATACAACTCCTGTGTCTTCAGCCTTTTAATCTAAAACAATCTGATGGCGCCAATCTTTCAGTTTAAAGATCCAAACAAAATGAAGTCGAAGTATAAGGGTTGTTATATTTGCCTGGCTAAGGAAACCAACAGATGCGGTTATTCCTGGCAATAAAAATGGCATTCATCTTATTTCACTTTCATTGTGAAAGAAAAAATTGCCCACATCCTCAAACATCATTTCACTGTCATCTTCTAGAAGCCATTATCCATAAATCTATCTTTTGTTCCCTGCTTTACCATTACCTTCAGATACAGTTTACTCCTTGTAAAACCCTAGTACAGTAGCATAGAGTTTGATCAGATTTAAACACAAAGAGCAGATATTCTCCTTTGAAGGAGAGCACTGGGCTTTCCTCGCCCACAGAAGAGAACATGCAGGCAGCTAGCAGAAACCCCAGGGAAAATGCCAGGGCAGGAAACACTAAGGTTCTTGCTCCAGACCCTCCTCCCTGATCCTACCACTTACAACCTCCTAAGAAAAGCAGTCCACCCAGGCCCAAAAAGACGGACTGCAAGATTTCATCATTGGCTTCCAGTGTGATTCATCCTAAAAATTCTTCCTCCTTTCCCATTCAAAGAAGCCCTCACTTCTAATGATACCAAGCATTACCCTCTGGCCTGAAAACAAGAAACCCCTCCTGGTATCCCCATTACCCTACTTTTTGCTGACCACCTCCTGGCACACAGGCAGACTCACTCACCATGCAAAAGGGAAATGTTTTAAAGCTCTAGCCCTTAAGAGATAATATTGGGCAGATCCCAAAATCTAATTCAGGTGCTAGGTGTTAATTCCCAGGTGTTAACAGCCACGCAAACCACAGACCAGGTCTATACACAGAAAAAGAAGACAACTCAAAATCACCCAGAAAAAAGATGCAATGGTTTGCTTGGTGGGATCCCAGCAAATGGCTAATTTCAGTATAAAATAAATACCATATGAGAAAAAAACTTAAAATTTCATCTTGCGCCACAACCAAAGTAAAGTATTCCTAAGTTTTCATTAGTGACTCATATTTCAAGATACATCTGTAAATTCCAATACACTAAACAAATAGGAGCATTCATTGAGCTTTGCTCTATTTGCCTTGATACTCAAAGCAATGTGGAAACAAAAATATGTAACTTTAAAATTTCATTCTCCATCATTCTGTACCAGCACTTTCTCCCCCAAATTTCATTTCCTTTGAATAAGTCCTGAGTCTTCTTAGTTAAATTAGCCTTACCTTCACACTTTCCTCAATGCCAAGCCCAACTCAATTCTCTTCTCTCAGGAATTTATAATGGCTCCAGACTCAAGAGGGAAAAAGCAGATGCTGAGTGGCCCTAAATCTAAAACTGCCTACTCTTCCTCCTTTGAGATTAAACTGATGTGCTCCTATCTTTCTAGCATGAGCAGATAAACATTCAGACTATGTCACGATGCATTTCAACCCAGACAACACACCCTTTGGAACCTCCTGCTACCTCTCTGTCCAAACACTGTGCCAGAGTGCAGTTCCAGATGTGACTCACCTTG